GCTTTTGTTCTGGAGCTTGATTGCAGCCATCATCTTCTGAAGCTACAAACAGGAATGAAACTGCTCTGGTCACGTGACGATCTCCACTAGACTCCTGAAACTGCAGATATTTACTTCAGACTCTTTATCTTCTCCAGATTTGCAGGAAGTGCACTAAAACATCAGTCAGTAGTGCTTTTAGAGCTTTATTAATGAACACCTTTTTCATAATCTCTATTGTGACTGGTGTTAAATCAGTTAATACACCAATAAAAACTATTTAGAATCGATATAAAGGCAAAAACAGCTCTATGTCAGTGAGCTGAAACTCTTACTTCAGTATAAAGATATTTACAAATAGGTTCAGATTATGCAAGTGTGTGGGATTATCAGCCAACAAAACACAATGAAACGCATTCTTTAATGAAACTGTGGTTGGCTCTTAAAAGCGCCCGTGTGTGTTTCTGGTGGCACGCACGCGGTTATCCTCCGAAGCCGTACAGAGTGCGTCCCTGGCGCTTCAGCGCGTACACCACGTCCATGGCGGTGACCGTCTTTCTCTTGGCGTGCTCGGTGTAAGTCACGGCGTCGCGGGTCACGTTCTCCAGGAACACCTTCAGCACACCGCGGGTCTCCTCGTAGATCAGGCCGGAGATGCGCCAGACGGCGGATGGCGGGTTTGGTGATGCCCTGGATGTTATCCCGCAGCACTTTACGGTGCCGCTTAGCGCCACCTTTCCCGAGCCCTTTACCGCGTTTGCCTCTTCCAGACATTGTTACAGATCTTCAAGATTCTCCGTTGTTCAACAAAACTTGAGGAGGCACAAGGTGTGCGAGAAGAGCTTTACAGTGGTCTACAGGACCTAGTTGAAACACACGAAGGCGGAGCTATTCTCTCTCTCTCTCTCTCTCTCTCTCTCTCTCTCTGGGTTTATTGTGGGTCGCCAGCAAATTATGCAGGTGCATATACCGCCACCCACTGTACAGAGGTGTGTAACACCAGTGCTTTATGTTCTTCAGTTCATGGAGGGGAGGGCAAACATTGAATGTAAGCATTGGAGAAAGTTTCTCTGATCAGTTGTCAGTTTACAAGGCTGAGATGATGGCGATTATAGTAGGATTGCAGTGGGTGGAGGAAATAAAGCCATACAGAGTAGTATGTTGAGTTGACTCTAGCAGCTCTTTTCAGTATTCAAAATATGAAATCTGACAAAGATGCTAGAAATTCATCAAAGCTTATTTAGATGATCTCCAGATAGACGTGTGATTCTGCTGGGTACCTGCTCATGTAAATATAAAAGGGAACGAGTGAGCAGACGAACTAGCAAAAACATCATCCAGGACGAGAGATGTTATAAACAGTCCCTTCGGTAAAAGAAAAACTAGGCAATAATCAAAAACAGAAATGATGAAGAAATGGCAGGAAAGGTGGGACGTGGATAATAGAAGAAGAAAATATTACAGTGTACAGAAATCAATTAATGAACAGGGTGTAAACAGAAGGAACAGAAAGGAGGAATCAGTTTTAACATGATGTTTGACCACACAGGATTAAACAAAACGTCTCAGGTTACCTACTCATGGTTCCCTGAGTAGGGAATGAGACACTGCGTCCTCTAGGGGTCGCTATGGGGAACGCGTCGTCGTGACCCGTGTCTGAAGCATAAATTGAAAAAACACCAACTCGTTGGCCGGCAACAGCCATGACATCACTACCGGTGCGACTATAGTATAAATATGCGCCGGGAGCACACATCATTCACTTCTTCGTCTGAAGCTTGCATCCGCAGCATGGCAAGAAACCTAGAGGACGCAGTGTCTCGTTCCCTACTCAGGGAACCATGGCTACATAAGTAACCTGAGACGTTCCCTTTCATGGGAACTTCGAACTGCGTCCTCTAGGGGTCGCTATGGGGAACGGTATACGAAGTACTGGGCCAAACGGGAGAGGCAAGCTCAAATACAACCCTCTAATGTGAGGGGAGCACTGCCTGAGACAGCATTACACAAGAAGGTTCTCGCAAATGCAACCTATACTTCCCGCTCGATGCCTCAGCAAGAGAGGATATCCTGGTGATCGGGAGGCCCCTCAGGGCGACCTAGATACGGTAAACCAGAGAGGACAGCCTGAAAGCATAAGCCCAGCCCGGGCATCCAGGAAATTTTTGCAGTGCCGTGCCGGGGGCCTGATGATCAAGAAGGCTCCCGCATAAGCCTGTGACCTGGCCGCATGATCCAGGAAGTATGAAGCCGAAACCCGGCTTATCGTACCATCTGGACATATCGATGAGTGAAATAAACACTGCAAGTCGAGCACCCGGTTTCTGAATCCAGCAGAGGGGGTGCTCACCGAAGACCTACCCTAGAAAAAGGACAGAAACACACAGGTCCCGGGAAACACTGCAAAGAAAGCTAGCAGAAGGGTTATACACACAACCACCAGCGCATTAAATACACACACACACACACACACACATACATATATATTTAAAAAGGCCGATTCTTCCTACCCCTACCCGGAGGCGGGGGAGGAGTGCGAGTCGCAACACTAGCCTTCTGTGCTCGTCTCTGATCCTCAAACCGAGACGGGCTAGGACCCCTGGGTTGTTCGGGCTGAGACCTGGACTTCGTGAAGGCCGCTATCCCGGTCTTTCAGCCAGGTCAGCCTGATATGCTTGGAGCATCACCATCATGTGCAATGAAGCGCCAGCCCGACCTGCTGCTACTGCGTATGCCCTGGTGTCCGACGAGATATTTCGCGACGTCACTTTCTTCACCCGCTTCACGGCAAGTGAAAGCCTCGCCGTGTCGCGATCCATAATTTCCACAAGCTCATCATACGCAGGACAGGAGGATTGGGAAGGCTCAGTCTCAGCTTCTTTGCCCTCCTCAGCTATTTCCTGCTTTTGCTGGGCTGATCCCAGCAGAGCAATGGCCCCTGAATCAGACGATGTTAATGAAATAACATCATCCTTCAGCGGCTCACTCTCGTGCACAGCCGACGATCGCGAAAGGGAAACGCCCCTTCAAACGCATCGGCCAGATCCACCTGCGATCCCCACGAGCTCATTCCCTTCCGTGCCTCAGCAGCGGCGGGTCCTGAATCGCGGGAAGCAGATGGCTGCCCCTCTTTCCTCGAAAAGAGAGACAAACGAGAGCGGAGCTTTTCCCTTGGAAAAAACATTCACAGTGCTCGGCGATTTGCCCCCTCGGAGGCATCGCATGCGTGCTCTTCGCCCAAACAAATAACGCATAGATCGTGTGTGTCATCAGATGTTAAACAACGTCAACACGGATGCACACATCCTTAAATGCTTTGCTAGTGCTCGCCATAATGATATGAAAAGAGATCGCTCTTACCACAGAAATGCACGCTTCAAACAAAACAGTCAATGAAGAGGAAGAAGAGAATGATGTGTGCTCCCGGCGCCTATTTATACTATAGTCGCACCGGTAGTGACGTCATGGCTGTCGCCGGCCAGCGAGTTGGTGTTTTTTCAATGTATGCTTCAGACACGGGTCACGACGAGGCGTTCCCCATAGCGACCCCTAGAGGACGCAGTTCGAAGTTCCCATGAAGGGGAACATTGGAATGTCTATTTTTTGTATTCTATCTATTTCTTTTCTTTTTATTTATTTGTTTATTTATTATACAATTAACCAAAATCCAAATAATGGCCACCAACAAGACAATATTTAAGCAACCATTAATTTTAATATCAGCTGACCAAAATCATGATTTATCAACAGGGTCATATATCAAGTGTTTTTGTGAATCGACCACAGGGTGGCCCTATAATGGCTAAATATATGTAATTTTTTAGGATATTGGATATGTAGTGTCAATTCCTACAATAAGTTCGAGAGTTTGCTGAATATGAATAAAATAAACTGCTGATATAGCAAGTGATGAACGTTTAAAGTCTTTTTTTTTCACCTGAATCACGTAGACTGTATAAACAAGATTAAATAATCATGTTCACAATCACATTTATATGTCAATCAAATTTAAACTCTGACAGCAAGCAACCACTGAAACAATGTTAAGTCACAAAGTCATGAAGTGGTGTTCAATATCTCTTTTGCACCCGCAATTAATGTTAAGAGAAGATTGAGATTTCAAGAGAAAATCAATGAATATGTAATTGAATCAATTTAGAAGTGATGGTGGTTTAATATCCTCAATTAGTGCTGAACAATGGTACGATTAAAACAAAAAATCAATTGAACTAACATTACACTTTGGTTGCTTCCATCACTGCTGCTGAAGTAACATTGAAAAGAACAAGAAAAGTATAGTAAAAAAAGATAGTAATATTGTTGAATCAATGGTAAACTATTATTGATTCCACATCACAAATCATTATTGAAATACAAAATTATCAATGGTAATGTCAATGAATCAGTGTTACACTATTCTACATCACTGCTGCTGTTGAATCAAAACTGAAATTAACAAAACTAAACTAAATATTTAATTGGTATTATAATTTGATCAATGTTAATGTGATGTAGGTCCTAAATATTTTTTGTTGAAACATTACAAATACAACTGAATTGTCAACGTACAATAATCTTACCATATATGATGTATAAGTTCATATTCAAACAACGTTTAAAATTTCTGAGCAATGTTTGGGGAAAACCTTTTCAAACATCACGTTCAAATCTGGCTTGCATCAGACTACTGCCTCTTTTCCTTTGGGCTATATATATATATATATATATATATATATATATATGTTGTATACATGTAGTGTGTGTGTGTGTGTGCGTGCGTGTGTTTGTGTATATATATATATATATATATACGCGATTTTTATTTATTTATTTATATATTTATTTATTTATCATCACAATTCAGTCATTTTAGGTTTGTGCGTTCGTTCTCAATTTTAAATAATTAAAAAAAGATCCTCAACCTGAACAAGACGCTTTCCTGTGTCACGCTGGCGAACTGGAAGACGCTCTGTGATTGGTTAACGCTTCACCGAGTCCATCCCTGATTGGTCGAGCTCATTTCAGTTCAATCATCAGTTTTGTGCTGCTGACTTTAAGTTGTCTGACATGTTCCTGCGTTCGCTGACAAACTCCAGAACTGTTCTGTTTACCTCTTTACCACCCTGTACATAAGTATATGAGGTAAGCTTAACCGCCTTCCTCTTTCATTGCGGGTTCAGTCTTCGGTGTGGTTGTTCTCTCGGGCTAGAGCTGTTAGCAATAGCACGTCTCGGGCACCGACAGAAGCTGAGCCCTGATGCTAGCACTCATACTGTACATGTGAAACGTGTACGCATACACTAAGAGTCACAAACACACAATCATTTATCCCGGGCCGTTTGTGTGTTACTAGGTTTTGCATATGGCTAGTTAGCTTCGGTTGCTGTCACCATGGTGTGTGATGAACTACAGGCTGTTTATCAGGCTGGTGCTAAAAGACAAGTTATGTGTGATATGATCAGCTTCAGGCTCAGATGAGGCTTTCAGACTGAACCTGGCACATACAGAAACATCTAGTATGATCAGCTTCAGGCTCAGATGAGGATTTCAGACTGAACCTGGCACATACAGAAACATCTACTATGATCAGCTTCAGGCTCAGATGAGGCTTTCAGACTGAACCTGGCACATACAGAAACATCTACACCTAGATACTAAAATATGTTCTTGTCTGACGGTTTTGCATTTGAGTCTTCTGATGTTATTATTGAATTGAATTGTGTTTAGTTTTATCAAACATTGTCAGAATTTCTAGAGTATGGATTGTAACGAGTATTAGTGTTTATAAAGAATACAGTATTTATGACTGAACAATATGAACATAAGGGTTGTAATAATAGTCGCATTGATTTGCAGCGAGGCACGTGATTGTTATGGACTGAAACGTCGCCTGATGTTTTCAGGTTGCAGCTTGCCGGTGTACTGTGAAGCAACATTATTTAATTAGAAAAAACCCTGCAATTAAAAAGTTTTGAGTGAAAATGATCTAATACATATTCAGGGTGTTAGCAGTGTTGGGGGTAACGCATTACAAGTAACGCGAGTTACGTAATCAGATTACTTTTTTCAAGTAGCTAGTAAAGTAACGCATTACTTTTTAATTTACAAGAGAATATCTGAGTTACTTTTTCAAATTAGTAACGCAAGTTACTTTTTTCTTTTTCCCAATGTATTGATTGACAGCTCTCCTGTCCCCATGCTGAGAGAAATCAGATGTTACTGTAGTTCAAAATAAATATGAATATGCATTAATTCATCTCACTCACACAAAAAAAAATAAAACACAGATTCAGTATTCCTCAAAAGGAATACAAATAATGCAACTCAGAATATGATGCAAACCTGCAATAATTAAATATTAAACAACACAAATATTCTTTATGTATTTAATCCCATTCTATTAAGCAATGTCTTTGCTTCTGAGCTTCGATGATCCAGTTCAATCATACTAATAAGCAAAAATTACTCTAGACAACATTTGTGTGTTTGTTTTATTGCTGAAGTGTGTTGAAATGTCTTCTTCTGCATTCTACTGTACGGACGTAACTTTACTTTCCCTTCAGCCTGAGGCTTATTCATTTCACTTTTGGTGTGAAAAGGCTTTTATATTTGCCAAAAATATTACTTTTTTATTTTAAAAACAAACAAGCAAGCCCTGTCCAGATTTAAAAAGTAGCGCAAAAGTAGCGTAACACATTACTTTCCATAAAAAGTAACTAATGGTGCTTTTCCACTGCATGGTACGGCTCGGTGCAAAAGGGGGAAACGCATCAAATTTGCTCCGTCATCTTCGTGACCACCACCTACTGTTATATAGAGAATGCAAGGTAACTTTTACCTCAGTACCAAAACTAACTGGGCAAATAATTGGACAAAAAATATTGATTAGAGATTAAATATTTCGTTATCTCACGTGTTTAACGCAAAGCTTCCGCGAAGAAAAGTTTGCAGCAAGTGGCTTTGAGCCAAGACGAACGAACGTTCAAACTAGAAGGTTGACATTTAAGAGGCGGCGCAACTATAACGACATGTGAATAATCCCGCCCATTCTAAAGCGATACTGAACTGCAGTGGAAACGCAAACCGAGCCGTGCCGTACCATACCATACTGAGCCGTACCGAGCCGAGTCGTACCACGCAGTGGAAAAGCGCCATAAGTAACGTAATTAGTTACTTTTTTATGGAGTAATGCAATATTGTAATGCATTACTTTTAAAAGTAACTTTCCCCAACACTGGGTGTTAGTGTGGATAGTTGAAAAATGGACAACACTATTTTGGGTTGAAATTTGTATATAAATCTGTATATGAGAAAATATTTTAATAAGTCTTAACTGGTCTGTTCTCAGCATATTTAGATTTTTTTATTTGACTTGATGGTCTACGACAGGGGTATCAAACTCAGCTCTCGGAGGGCCACTGTCCTGCAGAATTAAGCTCCAACCATAATCAAATGCAACTGAACCAGCTAATCAATTTCTTTAAGAGTGCTAGAAACCTCCAGGCAAGTGTGTTGGAGCCACACTCTCCAGAACAGTGGCCCTCTAGGAGCTAAGTTTGACACATGTGATCTAGGAGGTCCATTAGGTTTTATTTACCTAACTTTTACGCCATAGAGTGACTTGTTCAGTAGAGTACATGGGTCTGTAGTCACTTGGTAATTGAGATAGAGGTAGATTGGAGTGTCATGTGCCTAAACTTTATTTGTATTAGGTGCATGTACACATGGAACTAGAGAGGTCCAAGGATAGAGCCCTGTGGGACTCTGCATGTCATTGAGGTTCACACAATTATAGCGGCCTATGTTAAAGGGGTCCTGTTATGCTCTTTTACAAAGTCTTGATTTTGTTTTGGGGGTGTACAAGAACAGGCTCTCATACTAGGTTGTTCGAAAAACGCATTATTTTTCACATATTTCACATTATTACAACACCTCTCTCCCCAGTCTGGCATGAACGTCTCGAATAGTTCCTGTATCAAATGAAGGCCCGCCTTCTGAAATACGAAATGTGCTGTGATTGGTTAGCTGGGCCAGTGTGTGCTGAGATTGGTTAGCTGGGCCAGTGTGTGCTGAGATTGGTTAGCTGGGCCAGTGTGTGCTGAGATTGGTTAGCTGGGCCAGTGTGTGCTGAGATTGGTTAGCTGGGCCAGTGTGTGCTGTGATTGGTTAGCTGGGCCAGCGTGCGCTGTGATTGGTTAGCTGGGCCAGTGTGTGCTGTGATTGGCTCACTCTGCGCATGGTCGGGAAATATCATGCCCCTTACCATAGCTGCCTGCCAGCTTTAGTGTAAATATTGCATCAAAATCAAGTCAATTTGAGAGCGATTTAAACCCAGATGATTGTAACCACTCTAAGTTCGTCTGCCTTGGAAAAGCGAGCGTCTCTCCGACATAGTGATAACACTCGTTGCCTTCTCTAGTGCAGCTCAACCAGGTCTCGTCCCATTCGTCGATCTTTGTGATATCACAAATCCCGGAAAATATGCGTTGTAGTCAAAACGAGTCACTCGTTGTAGTTTTTGAAAAGTGATTTCTGTTAAATAAAATATCTCCTTTTGAAGTGGACTTTGAGCTTTGTAACTTTGCAGATCTTTTTTATGCTCAAACAGCAACATTACAGACTAACTAAAGTTGAAAAAGTGAAAAAGCATAATAGCACCCCTTTAAAGGGATAGTTCACCCAGACATGAAAAGTCTGTAATTTATTCACCCTTGCATCATTCCAAACTTGCATGACGCTCTGCAGAGCACAAAGAAGACATTTTGATACAATGTATATTTTGGTTACAGTCGGACAAAACACTGAGACTTTTCTCAAATTAGCCTATCTTCTTTTACATTACACAGGCGAGAGAAAGGGGAGGATTGATACAATTATTGACAGAATTTGACAACAATATCCACATTTTACTTAAAATTGCAAATAAATAAATCAATTTGAACAATCTGTGTTTGTTGCAGTGCAGCCAAATTACCTTTGAGGGCAGTAAAATCACATTTCATATAATGTTACGGCAGTTACCCATTTAAGTTTTGTCATTTTAAATTAAATAAATGGTTCTGTTTGGATCATTTGTGGCCTAGTGTTGGGTCAAGCTAATAGTTCAATCATTTTATTTGTAAAGGCATATCCCATTGCCAGTGTAATGAATACCTGGGAGTAAGGCTGAGCAAAAAATCGAATCGTAGATCACTGACAAGCTACACAAAGTCGTGTTCAAAATTCAAAATGATTTTGAACGCGATTTTGTGTAGCTTGTCAGTGATCTACGGCTCTGTGTAGTAAATGCCGCTCCATCTGAAAGCACGTGCTGTAGATTTACTACTAATCACCAGAAGCGGCTTTACTGACGAGATGTGATGAAAATCATATTCGATTTTTTGCCCAGCCCTACCTGCGAGCCATGGCCCAGTTTAAAGCGGTCATATGATGCAATTTCAAGTTTTCCTTTCTCTTTGGAGTGTTACAAGCTGATTGTGCATAGATAAGATCCCTGAAGTTGCAAAGACTAAAGTCTCAAAACCAAAGAGAGATTC